CTTTGGAGAACCATCCAGGCATCAAAGACCTGTCCGCTGCACTTGGCTTCGGTGGGACTGCCGGGGTTTTGGGCTCGAGGTGACTGAGTGGTTCTTATCAGGGGTTTAGGACTCAGCAACCCAATCAACCCTAAACCCTAAACCCTAAAGCCTAAACCACCCACCTAAACCCAGATAAAACCCTCCTTCAGGGGGGTAGGGCGGGGGGATATCAGGTAGCTCGCAACTTAGCTCCCTACGAAGAACTAGTAGCTGTTGGGTCCCGGGCTTAGGGCTTGAGGGCTCCGCGGGAGCGAGGGTTCGGGCGGCTTGAAGGTGACCCTAAACCCTAAACCCTAAACCCTAAACCCTAAACCCTAAACCCTAAACCCTAAACCCTAAACCCTAAACCCTAAACCCTAAACCCTAAACCCTAAACCCTAAACCCTAGCATATTAGGGTTTGCGGCACAAGCTTTAGGGTTCAGGGTTAAGGGGCCTTTGGGGTTCAGGGCTCCTGTCGGCCCTTCGCTTCTTGGGAGTTCCAAGCATGGTCTTCAAGTTTGCCCCCGCCACCCCACAGAGCAAAACCCTAAACCCTAAACCCTAAACCCTAAACCCTCATCCCTTCTTGAGTGTCCTAAGCAAAGCCCCAAAAACCGTCCAAAACACCACCAAACCCTGTGAGCCCATAAGCCCTGAGCCCGAAAAAACACTACAACAGCAAATCCCTAAACCGTAAACCCTAAACCCTAAACCCTAAACCCTAAACCCTAAACCCTAAACCCTAAACCCTAAACCCTAAACCATAGGGTTCTTAAGGGAGGGGGCTTGATGGGGGGGGTAGGTACCCAGGGAGCCTTACAAAGCCTAGGGAGTCTTAGGGAGTGATTTTGTGGGGAGTCTACGGAATCCTTGGGTTACATACCTCCGTTGGTCTAGGGTTTAGGGTTTAGGGGTTTAGGGTTTAGGGTTTAGGGTTTAGGGTTTAGGGTTTAGGGTTTAGGGTTTAGGGTTTAGGGTTTAGGGTTTGCCCACTGAAGCGACGCGCCTCGACCCAAGGGGTCGTGGGCGGCGCGTCGCGCGAAAGCTAAAACCCCACCCCAAGACCACCCAAACCTTACTCTATTAGGGTTTAGGGTTTTTTGTTTGATAGTTCTCTCGTTGCTTTGCATTCTCTGCTGTAGTTGTGGGTTGTTTTAATATAAATCAAAAGGAAAAGTAAAGCAGGGGGCAACAGTCTGCTTATATGTTGTGTTCTCACGCCCGAGTAGGCCCGGCTGGGAGCACCGATTCCGCGCTCGGGGCCGCGGCGCCATCGCTCGTTGTCACTGCGCTCCGTGGCGCCGCTGTGTACAAGAACGCCTCTTGTTCTCTCGTCGCTTTTGTATTCTCTGCCCTAGTGGATATCTGAATAAAAATCACAAACGCTTTACCCCAAAAGGGCCACAAGAGTACCAGAAAGCACCCACGAGGCCCCAAGAGCCACCAAAAGGCTTCAAAAGGCCCCCTAAAAAAGGACCTCCAGCATTTGCCCGGGCCCGCAATAAAAAATGTTTTTAGGACCGAAATCGATGGTTTTGGGCACCCCGAGTAGGCCCGGCTGCGAGCACCGATTCCGCGCTCGGGGCCGCGGCGCCATCGCTCGTTGTCACTGCGCTCCGTGGCGCCGCTGTGTACAAGAACGCTTCTTGTTCTCTCGTTGCTTTTGTATTCTCTGCTGTAGTGGATATTTTAAAAAAAATCATAAACGTTTTACCCCAAAATTTTAAAAGGGCCACAAGACTACCAGAAAGCACTCACGAGGCCCCAAGAGCCACCAAAAAGGAAGAAGGGGACCTCCAGCATTTGCCCGGGCCCGCAATGAAAAATGCTTTTTTTCTAGCACAGAAATAGATGGTGTTGGTCACAACGAAAAGTAAAGCAGGGGGCAACAGTCTGCTTATACGTTGTGTTTTTACGCCCGAGTAGGCCCGGCTGGGAGCACCGATTCCGCGCTCGGGGCCGCGGCGCCATCGCTCGTTGTCACTGCGCTCCGCGGCGCCGCTGTGTACAAGAACCTTCTTGTTCTCTCGTCGCTTTTGTATTCTCTGCTGCTTTTGTATTCTCTGCTGTAGTGGATATCATCATAACGTTTTACCCCAAAAGGCCAAAAGGGCTACAAGAGTACGAGAAAGCACCCACGAGGCCCCAAGAGCCACCAGAAGGCTTCAAAAAAACCCATAGAAGAAGGGGACCTCCAGGATTTGCTCGGGGCCCGCAATGAAAAATGTTATTTTTTAGTACAGAAATCGATGGTTTTGGGCACCCCTCCATGTTGTCAAAGGGCCAGGAAAGCCCCAGGAAAATCCCAAGAAAGTTTTATGCCCGAGCAGGCCCGGATGGAGGGCACCGATTCCGCGCTCGGGGCCGCGGCGCCATCGCTCGTTGTCAACTGCGCTCCCCAAGAGGCCCGCAGAGCCACCGAAAAGGCTTCAAAAGGCTGCAAAAAGCCTCGAAGGGCCGCCCCAGAAAGCCCCCAAAGGCCCTAAGAGGCGAGGAGCCCAAAAAAGCGCAGAAACTGTCCGGGAGGAGCCCAACAGGCTCAGAAACTGTCCGGGAAAACAGAAACTGTCCGGGAGCCCAAAAAAACGTAGAAACTGTCCAGGAGGAGCCCAAAAAGGCACAGAAATGGTCCGGGAGGAGCCTGGGACCCTAAATCCTAAATCCTAAATCCTAAATCCTAAATCCTAAATCCTACATCCTAAATCCTAAATCCTAAATCCTAAATCCTAAATCCTAAATCCTACATCCTAAATCCTAAAACCTAACTCCATTTTGCCCTAAATCCTAAATCCTAAATCCTAAATCCTAAATCCTCAATCCTGAATCCTAAATCCTAAATCCTAAATCCTAAATCCTAAATCCTAAATCCTAAGTCCTAAATCCTAAATCCTAAATCCTAAATCCTAAATCCTAAATCCTAAATCCTAAATCCTAAATCCTAAATCTAAATCCTAAATCCTAAAAGTCTTCAAAACGCTCTCTAAAGGAGGGGGGACCCCAGCATCTGCCCTGGCCGCAATGAAAAGTGCGATTTTTTAGTACAGAAATCGATGGTTTTGGGCACCCCTGCATTTTGCCCTAAATCCTAAATCCTAAATCCTAAATGCTAAATCCTAAATCCTAAATCCTAAATCCTAAATCCTAAATCCTAAATCCTAAATCCTAAATCCTAAATCCTAAATCCTAAATCCTAAATCCTAAATCCTAAATCCTAAATCCTAAATCCTAAATCTAAATCCTAAATCCTAAAAGCCTTCAAAACGCTCTCTAAAGGAGGGGGACCCCAGCATCTGCCCTGGCCGCAATGAAAAGTGCGATTTTTTAGTACTGAAATCGATGGTTTTGGGCACCCCTCCATTTTGCCCTAAATCCTAAATCCTAAATCCTAAATCCTAAATCCTAAATCCTAAATCCTAAATCCTAAATCCTAAATCCTAAATCCTAAATCCTAAATCCTAAATCCTAAATCCTAAATCCTAAATCCTAAATCCTAAATCCTAAATCCTAAATCCTAAATCCTAAATCCTAAATCCTAAATCCTAAATCCTAAATCCTAAATCCTAAATCCTAAATCCTAAATCCTAAATCCTAATCCTAAATCCTAAATCCTAAATCCTAAATCCTAAATCCTAAATCCTAAATCCTAAATCCTAAATCCTAAATCCTAAATCCTAAATCCTAAATCCTAAATCCTAAATCCTAAATCCTAAATCCTAAATCCTAAATCCTAAAAGTCTTCAAAACGCTCTCTAAAGGAGGGGGGACCCCAGCATCTGCCCTGGCCGCAATGAAAAGTGCGATTTTTTAGTACAGAAATCGATGGTTTTGGGCACCCCTGCATTTTGCCCTAAATCCTAAATCCTAAATCCTAAATCCTAAATCCTAAATCCTAAATCCTAAATCCTAAATCCTAAATCCTAAATCCTAAATCCTAAATCCTAAATCCTAAATCCTAAATCCTAAATCCTAAATCCTAAATCCTAAATCCTAAATCCTAAATCCTAAATCCTAAATCCTAAAAGTCTTCAAAACGCTCTCTAAAGGAGGGGGACCCCAGCATCTGCCCTGGCCGCAATGAAAAGTGCGATTTTTTAGTACTGAAATCGATGGTTTTGGGCACCCCTCCATTTTGCCCTAAATCCTAAATCCTAAATCCTAAATCCTAAATCCTACATCCTAAATCCTAAATCCTAAATCCTAAATCCCAAATCCCAAATCCTAAATCCTAAATCCTAAATCCTAAATCCTAAATCCTAAATCCTAAAACCTAAATCCTAAATCCTAAATCCTAAATCCTAAATCCTAAATCCTAAATCCTAAATCCTAAATCCTAAATCCTAAATCCTAAATCCTAAATAAAAATCCTGAAATCCTAAAGCCCCTAAATCCTAAATCCTAAATCCTAAATCCTAAATCCTAAATCCTAAATCCTAAATCCTAAATCCTAAATCCTAAATCCTAAATCCTAAATCCTAAATCCTAAATCCTAAATAAACCTAAATCCTAAATCCTAAATCCTAAATCCTAAATCCTAAATCCTAATTTTTAAATTGGGAAGGATGGGGTCCTAGGCTTTAGGGTAATAAAATATGCTTTAGGGCTGTACGCCCTGTTCCCTCTTTCAAAGCTGTGAGGAGTGCGTTACGGTGCCAGAAGCTAACTCTTCTGGCACTAAAGAGAGCATCTGCCTCCAACTGCTAGACTGTCGCTACTCAGTTGTCGGCTGCCGTCGCTAGAGGCTCGGCGGGCTCGCTGCGGCCCGCTGCCTTGCCGGCAGCTAATCAGGGGCCTTGCTCGCAGTTTAGGGTTTAGGGTTTAGGGTTTAGGGTTTAGGGTTTAGGGTTTAGGGTTTAGGTTTAGGGTTTAGGGTTTAGGGTTTAGGGTTTAGGGTTTAGGGTTTAGGGTTTAGGGTTTAGGGTTTAGGGTTTAGGGTTTAGGGTTTAGGGAGAACCCTATAACCCTTCGCAGGTGGTTGGCCTCACTCACCACCGACAGGTTCTTCTCCCAGCGCTTGATGGTATCCAGACTGCAGCCGATGGTTCGGGGCTTCGAGGTTGCACGGACACCCACAAAGCCCTCTCGGGTTTAGGGTTTAGGGCTTAGGGTTTAGGGTTTAGGGTTTAGGGTTTAGAGTTTAGGGTTTTGGGTTTAGATTTTATGGGCTCCGCCTCCCAAACCCAACCTACTTAACCCTGAAGGGTTTGGGGTTTAGGGCTCAGCTTCAGGAAGTCCATGGCAGGCTTGCTCTAGACCCAAGAGTAACTTAGGAATAAACGGGGTGCCCTTTTTGGTTTCAAGGGGGTTTTTGTAAGGAACCCAATCCCTAAACCCTAAACCCTAAACCCTAAACCCTAAACCCTAAACCCTAAACCCTAAACCCTAAACCCTAAACCCCAAACCTAAAAGAAAAGGGAATAAGGGCCGACTCTGGGGTTCTAGTGCTGCAATGGACGTTGCCACAGCAGACCTCGCAAGCAAGATCAACCGTCCACGGGTTTCCGGACTTGCGGGTGCAGGTTTTAGGGTTTAGGGTTTAGGGTTTAGGGTTTAGGGTTTAGGGTTTAGGGTTTAGGGTTTAGGGTTTAGGGTTTAGGGTTTAGGGCTTAGGGCTTAGGGTTTAGGGTGGGAGTATGGATTAAGGTTTAGGAGGGCTTCCTAAACCCGAACCCGAAGGTCCCCCCCCCCCCAAACCCTGTACAACCCTGTACTTGGAGGTTCTTTAGGGTTTAGGGTTTAGGGTTTAGGGTTTAGGGTTTAGGGTTTAGGGTTTAGGGTTTAGGGTTCTTCTTAACTCAATTACTAACTGTACTTATAACCCACTTAGAAGCCCCCTCAGTGCCCCAATATGGTTGGAAGTACAGTTGTAAGTACAGTTAAAATTGGTTAATTGGTTAAGAAGTACCATGAACCTCCAAGTAGAGCCTAAAGGGTTGAATCAGAGCACCCACCAGTTCAGGGCGCGTAGTGGAATGCAGCCTTTTCCACCGCAAAGTTCCTGCAGCCTTTTCCACCGCAAAGTTTCTGCTCTAAGGACTCTCTGATGTACTGGGATAGGTTCGGGGGCGCTATAAACATGAAACGTTTATGGCTTTACAGGGATTATATATGAATTCAGGGTAGGAAAGATTAAGGAATTGTGTTCAAAGCTACCCCTGTTGAGGGTTTAGGGCTGCGCGTTCAGCATGTCTCCAGTCAAAGCATTCACTCGTCAAAGCAGTTTGTCATACCCTAAACCCTAAACCCTAAACCGTGAGGACAACCTCCAATAAGCTTCAAACCCTAAAGACCAGCCCAAACGGCCCTAAACCCGAAAGACCAAGCTCCCAAATAGCCCAATACACAATAAACCCTAAACCCAGCCCAGTAGGCCCGCCAATGTTCCATAACATCCACGAAAATTTGCACAATGAACACGAATGAGTGAAAATGCGCACAATGCCCACGCATGAGTTAAGGGTATAAATAAGAAGCAAACATATTATGTGAAGAGGAGAGGTTTGGGGTTTAGGTCCAAGAACCATGCTATCCAAGGCTCCTACTAGTAAATCCTAAGCCCTCAGCCCTCCCATCGGTAGTTGAGACCCTAAACCCTAAACCCTAAACCCTAAACCCTAAACCCTAAACCCGCAGTTGAGGCCCGCGCAGCTTCAGGGCGTATTTCGAGGAGCTCATGGACTGCAGCGTAAGGACGTGGTCGTCCAAGGTCTGCTTCCTTGAGGTTTACGGGCTATACTTTGGATTTAGGGTTTAGGGTTTAGGGTTTAGGGTTTGCGGTTTAGGGTTTAGGGTTTAGGGTTTAGGATTTAGGGTTGGGATGTTCCCCCTTATACTAACAGTCCTTTTTAGGGATGATAATCGGGGTTCTTTCGTTCCTGTTAAGGACTGTTTGTATAAGGGGAACATCTCAAGTTTGGGGTCTAGGGTTTAGGACTTAGGGTGTTTGGGGTATAGGGCTTCAAGTGTTTGGGTCTAGGGTTTAGGCTTGCGGTTCATGTTCTCCAAACCCTGAAGCTTAAACCCTAAACCCTAGACCCTGATGACGGCGGGGAGTGGGGTTTAGGGTTTTGCTTCTAGGGTTTGTAGTGTAAGGGGTGCTTCACCGGCTGAGGACGGCGCATCTCCTCGTTGGGGAGCAGGACGTAGCCTGCACGAAGCCAGAAACAGACGTGGCTACTTAAAGCCCTCAGGCCCTAAAGGCATTGAAAACAGCCTGCGAAGCCCCCAAACCCTCAGACCGTAAACCCTAAACCCTAAAAACCCGAGTTTCGGAGCGGCTCGAAAGAACACTGCGCGCCTCGGGGGTTGTTCGGCTCGCCCTTGTACCTGTCTTCAGGAGCCACACTGAGCCGGACCGTACCCCTAAACCCGAAGCCCCTCATGGGGAACACGAAAACAGGGCAATGACAAGTAAAGGGGAAAGGGGTCTGGGGTCTAGGGTTTAGGGTTTAGGGTTTAGGGTTAAGGGATTAGGGTTTAGGGTTTAGGGTTTACGGTTTACGGTTTAGGGTTTAGGGTTTAGGGTTTAGAGTTTGAAGTTTGGGGCTTGGTGAGGGGAGAGGGTACTGGCAGCTGGGGGGCCGAACGCATCAAGGGGTTTAAGGTTCGTGGCTTCGGTTTTCGGTTTAGGCTTGAGGGTTTCTAGGGGCTTAAGGCTCGTGGCTTGGGGTTGAGGGTTTAGGGTTCAGAGTCTATTGAGGGTAGGCTTCAAGCCCTGAGGGGTTCCCCCTTCAAGGGTTCAGCCCTAAACCAAGCGGCAACATCCGCCAGACTTCAAGCCCCAAAGCCCACAAAGCCGTCTAAGCCCCAAAAGCCCTGAAGCCTTCGATTCCGGTCAAAGACCGAAAGCTCTACAATGTAAAGCCCCAAGCCCAACACCCTCCAAGCTCCGACCCTCAACCCCAAAGAACCCCCAAAAACGCTGAAACCCTAAACTCCTAAACCCTGAAGTGCCTGCATCCCTAAACCCTAAACCCTAAACCCTAAAACCTAAACCCTAACCTTACAACCTGAACAGCTCTACAACTTCTACCCTCAAAGGCCTCAACCTCAGGATGGCCCTGAAGACCCTCTGACAACTACTCCTAAATATGACCCTCTTAAACCCAATAAGGGAACACGTAACATGTCCCAAGGGTTGAGGGTTTAGGGTTTAGGGTTTAGGGTTCAGGGTTTAGGGTTTAGGGTTCGGGGTTTAGGGTGTAGGGGTTTTGGGTTTAGGGTTTAGGGTTTAGGGTTTAGGGTTTAGGGTTTAGGGTTTAGGGGCCTAATCATACACCCTCAACAACTCTAGCACCCTCTACCCTAAACGGCCCTCGGCTTGGTCCGCGCACGCTTTCAGGCCCAGAGGCATGTTGCGCCAGGTGCTGTCGATCTGCCAAGGGGCTGAGGGCTTCAGGGCTTCGGGTTGAAGGCTCGGGGTTTAGGGCTTAGGGCCAGTTTAGGGTTTAGGGTTTTGGGTGGCTGAATGAGAATTTCTGGTCTAGGGCTTGGGTTCAGGGTTTCGGGTTCAGGGCCGGTTGAGGGTTTAGGGCTGGAGGGGCTGAAGTAGGATTCTTGAGGTTCAGGGCTTTGGGGTGTTGCTCTGGAGACCGGGACTTAAAGTTGGCAGGGTTTGGAGGGGTGGGGGGGTTGGGGCCGGGGGTGGTTAAACCCTGAACCCTAAACCCTAAACCCTAAACCCTAAACCCCTAAACCCTAACCCCTAAACCCTAAACCCTAAACCCTGCATGTCCCCTTGACAAACCTGAGGTCAAAGGCCTTCGCAAGCTCGCTCTCAATCTTCAGCTCATTCTGCGCCTCGGCACCAGACACGCACCAAGGCAATCAGACTGGGCATTCTCAAAATTATGGGAGATACTTGGGGTGAGAATCTTAACAATTTAGAGCTCTTTAGGCTCCTCTGAATTGGGGTTGAGGGCTGCTTTCTCAGAAACTTCCGTTTGAGCTGTCTTGGCTTACGGGGTCAGGGCCCAGGGTATGGACGGACACCTAATCCCCCGTGAAACCCGGAAGAAACTCAGACTTGAGCTTTGAGCTAGCGGTTTCAATATATGGCTGCCACTGTCAGGAAGGGCTGAGAGTTTAGCGCTTAGGGTTTAGGATTAAGGCACAAAGCCTAAACCTAAACCCTAAGCCCCCAAACGCCTAAGCCCAAAACCCCAAAACTAAATGAAATATGGAGCTTGCGGTCCACGGTCAGGGCTTAGAGGTTTCGGTGCTTGGCAGGCGAAAACACTAAATCCCTAAACCCTGAGCCCTAAACCCCAAACCCTAAACCCTAAACCCTAACCCTGAACCCTAAACCCTAAGCCCAAAACTCATTGTGGTTCAGGGTTTAGAGCTTGAACATCTGACAGCTGCCACGGCACCGTCACCACCAGCTCGTTCACTTCGTCGGGATAGCCTTCGACCCGGAATGGCGCGAAACTTGTGCGGTTTAGGCCAAGCTTAGGTTTTGGGTTTAGGGTTTAGGGTTTAGGGTTTAGGGTTTGGGGTTTGGGTTTTGGGGTTTAGGATTTAGGGTTTAGGGTTTAGGGTTTAGGGTTTAGGGTTTCAGCGTCTTGTGGCGGCGGGTGTGAAGGTAGAGCTTGGGTATGCAACCAGGGTGCCCTCATACTCCCCACTACTCCCTGAGGCTCTCTGAGCTTCCCTACGGTTCCCTAGGTACCCCCTAACCTACAATGAGTTTTAGGGCTCAGGGTTCAGGGTTCAGGGTTCAGGGTTTAGGGTTTAGGGTTTAGGGTTTAGGGTTTAGGGTTTAGGGTTTAGGGTTTAGGGTTTAGGGTTTAGGGTTTACGCCCCTCCCTGAAGAAGCCTGTAGAGGTTTTTAAGGAGTTTGAGGTTAAGGCTCTGGGGCGCAAGGGATTCGGGTTTCAAGGGCCTATGGTGCTTCGCTTAACACTTCAAACCTTTATAGCCTGTATCACTGTACCTTGGCAGACTTCTGAACCCCTCCTAAAAGTTAAACTTTTAGCCCCTTTATTGTAGTTATAAGGAAACCCAAAAAGTTAAAGTCCTAAGAGCCAACCAGAAGACAGCCAAGGTACAACCCTGGTAGCCCCTAGAACCCTACACCCATGAAGGCTTAAGCCCAACTCTGAATCACACAGGCTGCCTGCTGAAGGGCCTTTGCTAAAAACCTTGTCAGTGCCTTAAACTTGCGGCCCCCCCCCCCCCCCCCCCCAAAAAAAAAAACAAAAACAACGGGAGGGGGGTGTGCGTATAATTATGGGTACGATTTGGGGGGGTTTAGAGCTTAGGGCTTAGAGGGCTTATAGGGCTTGTAGGGCTTAGCAATAAGGCTTATAGCCCTTATAGGGCTTATAGAGCCTATAGGGTTTAAAAGGCTTAGGGCGTGGGGCCTAGGGATTTTGATCACGAGAGCCATCGCGAATCCTGGTATGGGTCTGGGGTCTGGACGGTGGAGCTGCATTGCGAAGACGGAGTTCAACGTCATCTTCTTGATGTCGAAGTCTTCCTTGGCCGGTTCAACCCCCTTTGGGCCCGTTAAGAAAGGGGTTTGGGGTGTAGGATTTAGGATTTAGGGTTTAGCGATTAAGTTTAGGCCACCCCAAAACCTCAAGTTTTAGGCCCCAGGCCCAAAACCCCAAGCCCAAACCTGCCCTACACCTCCAGACCCGAAAACATGAATCCTAACTCCGAAACCCCTGGTAAACTTCACGGGTAGGGTTTGGGCTTCTAGGGCTACACCCCCGCAAACACTTTCTATGCCCTAAACCCTCCTCAACCCTAAACACCAAACCCTTAACCCTAAACCCCGAAACCCCTAAACCCTTGAACCCTGAACCCCCAAAACCCTAAAACCCTTGAACCCTAAAACCCTAAACCCTAAACTGAACCCTAAACCCTCAAAAGAGCACCTTTCCGGGGCCCCGGGCTGTTTCGACACCCGCCAGCTGCATGAGCTCCTCTTCGTTGCTGAGCTCGTAAGCCCCAAGAAAGGGGATTTAGGGTTTAGGGTTTAGGGTTTAGGGTTTTGGGGTTTGGGGTTTGGGGTTTAGGGTTTAGGGTTTAGGGTTTAGGGTTTAGGGTTTAGGGTTTAGGGTTTAGGGTTTAGGGTTTAGGGTTTAGGGTTTAGGGTTTAGGGTTTAGGGTTTAGGGTTTAGGGTTTAGGGTTTAGGGTTTAGGGCTAAGTCAAGGAGGGCCTTGGGGGCTCTTGGGTTGAACAGAGTTTCGGGCTTAGGGGAATTCTGTTAAAGTTAAGGGTTCAGAGTTTCGGGCACTTAGGGAGTTTAGGGATTTGGAGGCATTTAGGGCACAGACGCAGCATGTGCTCAGCGAACTCGACAGAGTTCGTAAGGCTCAGGAGCACACTGTTCAGGAAAGCCTGCTGCGGGGCTGCCTGCATGACAGCTCCAGCTGCCCGTTGGAAGGCACAGGTTGGCCAGTTTACTAGTCTGTCTCCCATGCGTTGCAGTACCGCAGAAACCGTCCATCCAGTAGAAACCGCCTGTGTGCCATCGACACTTAGGTCACAATTAAATTTAGGCCAAAGCGTGTGGCAGAGGCACACGTTCGTCCAGCATAGCTCGTGCCAGGAGCAAGGAGATGATAATCTCCAACTGGTCACTCAGGCAAGTGGTCGCCGTTGCAAACAGGGGCATGTGTGGCAGCTCGCGGTGTGGATGAAGAAGAAGAAGAAGCACGGAGTGCTTGAGGGTTTTAAGGGCTCATGGTGTTCGGCTTCGGGGCTGTCGGGGTTTTCGGGGTCTTAGGGTGTCCCCTAAGCCTCATTCTGCATAAGTTAGGCACCTTCGTATGCCCCTATCCATGTAACCCCTGTGAGCGATTCTACAGCCTGATTCTCGAATCATGCCCTAAACCCCAAAGCCCAAACCCCAAACTCTAGACGCCGGACCCACCCTACACCTAGACCCTAAACCCTGAACCCTAAACCCTGAACCCGAAACCCTAAGCCCTAAACCCTAAACCCCAAACCCTAAACCCTGAACCCGAAACCCGAAGCCCTAAGCCCTGAACTCCAAACCCTAAATCTCTTACACCGACAAGGGAAGATCAAACATCCCAAGGGCCATCCTAGCAAACCTAAGGCTCCCCCACACCGCACGGATTTAGGGTTTAGGGTTTAGGGTTTAGGGTTTAGGGTTTAGGGTTTAGGGTTTAGGGGTTAGGGGTTTGGGGTCTAGGGTTCAGGGTTCAGGGTTTAGGGTTTAGGGTTTAGGGTTTAGGGTTTAGGGTTTAGGGCATCTGCTGCGCTCCTCCCAGTGCACTTTCCGGATGGCGTCGCTCTTCAGCTGCTGGATGAGCGGCACGCCGGCCTTATCGGCCAGAAGCTCGGAGCCCCAAATCTCGAGGTTTAGGGTTTAGGGTTTAGGGTTTAGGGTTTAGGGTTTAGGGTTTAGGGTTTAGGGTTTAGGGTTTAGGGTTTAGGGTGTAGGGTTGGGGTGTGGGGTTTAGGGTTTGGGGTTTAGGGTTCAGGGTTTAGGGCGTCGGGTTTAGGAATTAGGGCCTTTGTGTTCACGCCTCTTTACGAGAATGGAGTCCGCCGTCTCCCCTAGTCAGGTGGATGGGACATGAGGGCCTCTTCTTGGTTCCAAAACTCTTCTGGCTGGTTCTTAGTAGGGAATGAGGCACCCTATATCCTCCTTAAAAAACCAAGGGATCATTCCCCCATTCCCTACTAAGAACCAGGGTGTCTTCGCCATAATTATTGGGGGGGGCCCAAAGTATGGTCACCCTTTTGCAAAGTTCCTACGAGAAGGGCTCTACTATTTCGGGAATATCGCGGGCAGCCCTATTTTTGGACCCCCCCCCCCCCCCGCCCCCCTATAGGCCCTCTCAACCTGCAGTCTTTCCCTACATACGAACCCATCTTAAGCCTCAATCAGGGTCTAGGACTCTGTGTTTATAGGATGGACACCTCAAAAAAAGGTCCACAGTTGCGTTTAGGGTTTAGGGTTTAGGGTTTCGGGTTTAGGGTTTAGGGTTTAGGAATCCTCAACCCTCAACCCTCAACCCAGACGCTTCTTGCGGCCTTGAAGGAGGTGACGACCTCCTCGAGCTTCTGGAAAGTTTGGAGCTCCCCGAGTTCCTTCTGCTCCTGAAGGGCGCGCCCACGTGAGATTGACGGCTCAGGGCTTGTTTTGGGCTTAGGGTTTAGGGTTTAGGGTTTAGGGTTTGAGGTTTGGGGTTTGGGGTTTAGGGTCAAGGGTTGAGGGATGAGGGTTGAGGGTGTATGGGTCTGGCGGTTAAGGAGGATCCAAGGGTTGAAGGGATCGGGGTTCAAGGGTGTAAGGGTCCAGGGGTTAGGGTTAACGGGTTCGGGGTTTAGGGGGTTACGGACTTCGGGGTTAGGGTTGCCTTAAGTCCCTAGTGCACAACGCTGGCGTTTAGCCTCTTGTTGCAGGGATATGCGCATGAGGCTGGTCCCAGAACCTCTCAAGCGGAAGTCAGGTTCAGGGTCCAAGGTTGGAGTCTTGGGGTCCAGGATCATCCAAAGGCCCTGGCGAGGATGTTCTTTGCCGAAAACATTCCCTTGCCTCTCCCCCTCGCGGAGGCTGAAAGGCACCAAAGGCTTCAAACTTCGGGTTTGCTTGGAGGTTCATGGGTACGTATCACCCCAATTATAAGTCTACTTATGACTTCTAACCTACGGTAGAGGGCGCGTTCATCAGGAGAGGGTTTAGAGTTTCAGGTGTAGGATTTGGGCTATAGGGTTTAGGGTTTAGGGCTTCGGGTTTAGGGTTTAGGGTTTGGGGTTTAGGGTTTAGGGCTTTGGGTGGCTCCCAAGCTGCCCGCGGTTGGGGGGAAAACGTCCTTGGGCATCCGCCGCACCAGCTTGTCGAACTCCTCCGCACTCTTCGTCAGCGCGTTGATGTCGAATTTCGTCCAGAAAGCCTCGGTGTCTCTCAAACGTGGGAGGATCCAAAAGTAGAACCCCCCTTTTAGGGGGTTTACGACGATATGCATCCCCAAATTGTAGGATCCCCTTATTATGAGGACCCCAACAAGGTACCCCCTACTTTCGAAAACCCCCAAATAGTACCCTATGCTACGATTGGATCGTTCATTAAGAGCCCTTAAAGGGATCTGCTTTTGGGATTCTTGCATGGGTCTGGGAAACTGGAGCCTGCAGACTTTGGCACCCAAAATTGGTAGACTGAGGACTGAGGCTTCCCTGAGAGTGAGCAGGCGAGAGAGAAAGAGGGAGAGAGGTTTAGGGTTGAGGGCTGAGGGCTGAGGGTTGAGGGTTGAGGGTTTAGGGTTTCGGGCTTAGGGAAAAAACAAAAACCAAAAGGAAGAAATCGACCAGGGCATCTCAGGGGCATTGCTGTACTCGTTGACCATGGCAGCGTGATCGATGTAGACCTGCCAAGATAGGTTTCGGACATTTCGGGCTCAGGAATATTACGCTGGGCCAGGCAATCGGTTGTGAGGATGGAGACGTCGATGCGCACGGCACCTATAGGATTTCAAGCACCCCGCAATGCAGAGAGAGGTCCAACAGCGAAGACAGTTTCGAGGCGAACCCTTACGTCCAAAAGCGACGACAGATTCGCGCTTCGCGAACCCCGACATCCAAAACCGCACGACAGTTGCGAGGACGGCGACGTTGATGCGCGCGGTGCCTATAGGCGGGAGCGCGATTTCCAACATGGCGAATGGCAAATCCGCACGCAGCGAGCCCATCCAACAGTACAAAACGCAGGATTCCATGGGCCTGGGGCGTTTTGGGGACGCTTTGCCATGCAACCAACAAAAACGTAGCAGACCTGAGCGGAGAGCAGGATTTCCATCCAGAAACACTGGGAAATGCGCACGGGGCCTAGCAGCCGCAAGCATGTAATTTGGGATGTCTCGAGGGCCCAAGAAGATCGGGACGTCACTCGCACTGTGGTAAAGTAGGACTTCCGTCCAACATGCGACCGCCGCTTGAGGGCAGCGTCTGTGTACCCGCGCGCTTCATCGCGGGCGTCATTCGCGCAACTCGATCTAACCTTCCTGTACCCTGGAAGTAAGAACTAACAGTCTTGGCACACTGTTCAGGGGGAAATCTCCAACCCTGAACCCTACACCTTAAAACCCTTAAAACCCGAAAACCCTAAAACCCTAAATCGAAAACCCTAAAACCCTAAAACCCGAAAACCCGAAAACCCTAAAACCCTAAAACCCTAAAACCATGAAAAATAATAATACTAATAATAATAAGAAAACCGAAAACCCTAGAACCCTACCCAACACAAGTCAGAACAGAAACCTTGAACCCAGATTCCGACAAGGATCGCTCCCCCCAAAACCCTTTGGACAGGAACCACAACCCTTAACCCACAAACCAACCCACTTGCTGGTTTGTGGTGAAAGGTTCAAGGCTTCGGGTTTAGGGTCTGGAGTCTGGAGTCAAACCCTAAACCCTAACCGCCAAACCCTAAACCCTAAACCCTAAGCACCCTAAACCCTGAACTCTAAACCCCAAGCCAAACCCTGAACACTAAACCTAAACCCTAAATCCTAAACCCGCGAAGCCCCAAGCCCTTTGCTCTGGCACTAGAACCCTGGGGCACTTAACCTCTTGAGCCCAAAACACGCAAACCCTGAACCACTTGTGTTTTGAAGTTCAGGGTTTAGGTTTTAGGGTTAACCCCAGATATAACTGTACTTATAAGCCCCCAAACCCTAAACCATAAACTCTAAACCCCAAGTCCTCTAAGTAGGCTATAAGTAGCCCTATGATTTGCGTTATAAGTTCCTATGAGCCCTAAACCCTAAACCCAAAACCCAAAACCCTAAACCCTGAACCCTGAACCACTAAGGCCCTAAATGAACTTCCAAACCTCGATCGGCCTTGTAGATCTGCTGAAGGAGTCGGAGGTCCTTCCGGCTGAAGCTTCGGGTTTAGGGTTTAGGGTTTAGGGTTTAGGGTTTAGGGTTTAGGGTTTAGGGTTTAGGGTTTAGGGTTTAGGGTTTAGGGTTTAGGGTTTAGGGTTTAGGGTTTAGGGTTTAGGGTTTAGGGTTTAGGTTTCGGGCACTGGGAAGCCTTAGACGCAGTAGGGGTGAGGGGTGGGGGCATTAGAGGTATTCGCGGCATTGGGGCCCAGGGTTTCGTCGGGTTTCAGGCGCCAGGTTTCGGGGAGGGCCCCGGGGCACATGGCGAGTCCGAGTCTGTGGCTTCAGGCGTTTTAGGGTGAGGGGGGTTTAGGGTTTAGGGTTTAGGCACGTGCACTCAAACAAGACAGTCCAAAGTCTGTGATCCGCCTGCACTTGCAGATGGCGTGTGAGATAGAAGAAAACTAGAGAAAAGCATCCCATACAGCACGAAGAAGACCCGCGACAGCGGCCTTGGTAGCAGAAATACACAGAGTTTAGGGTTTTGGGTTTAGGGTTTAGGGATTAGGGTTTTGGGTTTAGGATTTAGGGTTTAGGGTTTCAGGGCGCCTTCTCCAACTGTAGAAGCTCCGGATAGGTCTGGATGGGCCTCAGAGGCAGAACGCTCCGTTTGGGTTTAGGGTTAGGGTTTAGGGTTTAGGGTTTAGGGCTTAGGGCTTAGGCCTTAGGGCTTAGGCCTTAGGGCTTAGGGCTTAGGGTTTAGGGTTTAGGGATGTTTAGGGTTTAGGGTTTAGGGTTCAGGGATTCGGGCAAGCCCTTGTTTGGCAGAATGGCTGATTCATACCGCTTGGGGGGGAAGCCCTTGCTTGGCAGAATGGGTGACTCATTCCATTAGAACCCCCTACGTTGGAGTAGACCCTGGAAACGAAGTATGTACTTTTTAGGTATAAGTAGCTATAAAAGGAACCCAGAACAAAAAAACATTAACGTATAGTACTCAAAAACCCTGAACCCTCAATCCCTAAAGCCCTTGAGGGTGTGCTGCAAGACAGGATGAACCAAGCAAGTCTTGTGCGAGTGCATACCTCCATACTACCACCTAAACCCTAAACCCTAAACCCTAAACCCTAAACCCTAAACCCTAAACCCTAAACCCTAAACCCTAAACCCTAAACCCTAAACCCTAAACCCTAACCCCGAAACCCTAACCCCTAAACCCTAAACCCTAAACCCTAAACCCTAAACCCTAAACCCTAAACCCTAAACCCTAAACCCTAAACCCTAAACCCTAAACCCTAACCCTAAACCCTAAACCCTAAACCCTAAACCCAGTGGTGAGGGGAGCCGACAGAGTGTATGTGCTGAGCGGCTCTGACGCCTAGAACTGGAACGGCACCAAAACCTGACTGATGCGGAAAGCGGCTCCGCACTTCGCATGCAGCCGCGAAACCGAATCTCAAATTGCTGATGTGCGCTGGCGCGAATAAACAGCCCGGACATCGCCACATTCCATCATCGGAAGGCCTCGTCTCCCACCACGTCAACGCCCTTGAACCCCCCCCACCCTCCCCCACCGAAGAAGGGGTGGTGAGAGAAGGGTTTAGAGTCTAGAGGGTTTAGGGTTTAGGGTTTAGGGTTTAGGGTTTAGGGTTTAGGGTTTAGGGTTTAGGGTTTAGGGTTTAGGGTTTAGGGTTTAGGGTTTAGGGTTTAGGGTTTAGGGTTTAGGGTTTAGGGTTTAGGGTTTAGGGTTTAGGGGTCCGCAGAAGACCTGAAGATGTTGTGGGCTGTCCTGAAGCGGCGCTTGGGCTTGCCGGCTCTTGCGTTGTAAGAATGGCGGCTGAAGCTGAAATTGAGGAGGAACCCTCGGACCAATAACATCGGCCCCTTCGCAAGGAGTCCACGCCAGCCATTGTAAGAATGGAGGATTGAGCTATAGAGGGTCGAGGGTTTAGGGTTTAGGGTTTAGGGTTTAGGGTTTAGGGTTTAGGGTTTAGGGTTTAGGGTTTAGGGTTTAAGCTTTGAGGGCTTTAGGGTTAGAGGACTTTAGGGTTTGAGGGCTTTGGGGTTTGAGGAATTGAGGGTTTGAGGGGTTGAGGGTGTTTAGCGTTTTTTGGTTTTTTGGGGTTTTTAGGGTTTGAAAGTTTAAGGGTTTGAGGGTTTGAGGGTTTGAGGGCTTGAGGGCTTTGGGGCTTTAGGGCTTAGGGCTTAGGGCTTGTGAGGGTTCAGGGGCCTTAGGGCTTTAGGTCTGGGGCTTTATTAGGGGTTTAGGTTTTAGGGTTTAGGGTTTAGGGTTTGTTTAGGGTCTGGGGTTTCCAGATGTAGTGCATTTTTCAGGCTTAGCGGGAAGTTACAGTTTGGGGGCTTGGGGAGCTTGGCTGTTAGCGCGGTAGGGTTCTTGGGGTTTCGGGTTTAAAGTTCATAGGGCTGAACCTCAAAACCCTACACTCTAAACCCTAAACCCTAAACCCCAAACCGGTCTTTTTAGGGTTGAGGGGGCCCGAGGGCGAGGCAAGTTGAAGAGCGTCTGCGCCTTGACGAGGTCCTGCGGCTTGCGGAAGCCGGGGAAACCCCGCTTGAAGGTTCGTGGGTGGGTTTAGGGTTTAGGGTTTAGGGTGTAGGGTGTTTAGGGTTTAGGGTGTTTAGGGTGTTTAGGGTGGTTAGGGTGTTTAGGGCGTTTAGGGCGTTTAGGGCGTTTAGGGCGTTTAGGGCGTTTAGGGCGTTTAGGGCGTTTAGGGCGTTTAGGGCGTTTAGGGCGTTTAGGGCGTTTAGGGTTTAGGGTTTAGGGTTTGAGGGCTTTAGGGTTTAGGGGCTAAGCAGGCTTGAGTGTCAAATACAAACCTTGAATGTTTAGTTTGAGGCTTAGGGGGACCCTCAACTTCTTCAACCCTAGACCCTATGGTTTGGAGGGACTTTTTGGGGTGCTCTCCCTTATACTAACAGTCCTTCATAGAGATTATCATAGGGGGTACTACAATCCTTCTTAAGCTAGTATAAGGGGGAACATCCCAAGGAACTTCGGCCAAATTTCCCAATGGCCGGGGAATGGAAAGGACCAGCTTCACTTCCTGGAAGACGAGGAAGCCCAACAATCCTTGAAGTCCAACTCCGGGCTAAGAACCTGAACCCTAAAGCCTAAAGCCTAAAGCCTAAAGCCTAAAGCCTAAACCCTAAAGCCTAAACCCTAAAACCTAAACCCTCCTAAACCCTCCTAAACCCTCCGAAACGCTCCTAAACCCTAAACCCTAAATCCTAAAAACAAGATCCTACACCTCGAAAGCCCTGCAACTAAGAGGTCGGTGACTCAGAGTTACGGGGCTCAGGTGCTTCACGCCTCTCGCTTGCGTTGGAACTGCTTGACGTTGATGTCGTACTTCTTCATGAGCTCCTTAGGTGTGTTGAGGGTTTGGGGCTTATTGCTTAGGGTTTAGGGCTTAGGGTTTAGGGTTCCGGGTTCAGGGTTCAGGCGCTACGTCTAGATGCACATTCCAAAGCTTCTGACGCCCTAGAGGCTCTATGGGTTTTGG